TTGGGCATCGCAGATCGACTGGGGGTAGGGAGGTCAAAGTCCCCACCTTGGGGGACATGGTGGGGACTAGAGGCCACATGTAGAATTAGCAATTCATTGGTCCCCTGTGAATGTACGTGTCCTGGCACTGGTGGACACAGGAGCTGAGTGTTCTTTGATTCATGGCAACCCTGAATGTTTTCCTGGAACTCCTGCTGGGATAGATGTAATTAGAGTGAAGAAAGCCCAAATCTCACTGGGGCTAGGGCATTTACCCGCAAAGGAGTATACCATGTACATTTCTCCCATCCCTGAATATATTTTGGGGGTAGATATCCTCCTGGGCCTGTGGTTACAGACCACTGCAGGTGAGTTCAGACTGAGGGTATGTATGGTAAAGGCAGTTCTGAGGGGACATGCTAAGCACTCACCTGCAGCTCTGCCTGTAGCTCAGGGGGTGACAAATATTAAGCAGTATAAATTGCCTGGGGGGGTGGGACAAGGGAATTGGAGAAACTCTACACAAGTTGGAGAGGGTGGGCATCATAAAGCCCACTCATAGTCCTTTTGACTCCCCAGTGTGGCCAGTGAGAAAGCCGGACGGCTCCTGACGTATGACTGTGAGCTACAGGGAATTGAATAAAGTCACACCCCCTGTGCATGCTGCTGTCCCCTCTATAGCAGGCATTCTGGACACCCTCAGCCATGAGCTGGGAACGTATCATTATGTAGTAGACCTTGCTAATGCCTTTAACATAGTACAGGAAAGCCAGGAACAGTTTGCCTTCATGTGGGAAGGCTGGCAGTGGACATTCACTGTCCTTCCACAGGGTTATCTCCACAGTCCCACCATTAGTCATGGACTTGTAGCCCAGTACTTGGCCACATGGAGGAAACTGCAAACAGTGTGATTGTATCACTACATTGATGATATTATGCTCACATCTGATTCTCTTCCAGATTTAGAAGGAGCAGTTCCTAGACTGTTGCAACATCTACAGGGGAAAGGATGGGCTGTGAGCAGCACCAAGGTTCAGGGACATGGTTTCTCTGTGAAATTCTTGGGGGTTGTCTGGTCCGGTAAAACTAAAGTTGTTCCTGAAGCAGTTAAAGACAAAGGTCCAGGCTTTCCCCACCTCTACCACTGTGGCAGTATTACAAGAGTTTTTGGGTCTTTTGGAGAGTATTTATCCCACACTTGGCGCAAATAAATACTGGAGAGTATTTATCCCACACTTGGCGCAAATTCTGAAGCCCTTACACCAGTGGGTATGAAAGAGCATCAGGTAGGACTGGGATGAGACGTGCAGCTGCTTTTACTGCTGCCAAGCAGGCAGTCAAGGCCATACAGGCCTTGAATGTAATGGAATCATCAAGGTCCTATGAACTAGATGTTCATGTAACCGAAGATGGTTATGGATTGGGTCTTTGGCAGCAGCTTGAACGGACATGCCAACCTATTGGATTCTGGTCACAACTGTGGAAAGGAGCAGTGACCCGGTACAACTTGATAGAGAAGCAACTGGCTGCTGTGTACTACGCCTTGCTGGCTATAGAGCCCATTACAGGAACAGCTCCGACCAAGGTAATAACCACCTATTCCCATCGTGGGGTAGGTGCAAGACTGGACCTAAAGGCCAGAGTGGCATGGAACAGACACCTACACTGGCCAAATGGGTCACATATTTACAGCAGCGCAGTGCCCTCCCTACTAGCCCCTTAAGTGGAGAACTCCAACACTTATTGAGGCCAGTGACCTATACAAGTGGAAAGCAGGAAGAACTTGCTTTTCAGCCCTTGGTAGCCAAGGCTCCTTATCAGGATGGAAAAGCCCCTATACCTGAAGATGTTTGGTACACAGACAGCTCCAGTCATGGGCATACTCGAAGTGGAGGGCTGTGGCTTTCCATCCTAAGACTGAGACAATGTGGATGGAGGATGGAGAGGGGAAGAGCAGTCAGTGGGCTGAGTTGTGGGCAGCATGGCTCGTGATCACCCAGGAGCCCTCCCCCATAGTTGTCTGCACTGACAGCTGGGCTGTCTGTCGGGGCTTGACCCTGTGGCTACCGACATGGTACCATGCCAACTGGATGGTGGGTCACCAGCCCCTTTGAGGGGAAGAGTTGTGGCAAGACCTGTGGGCCTCTGGTCAGACTAAGGCACTTACCGTGTATCATGTGACTGGCCGTTTGCCTTTGGCATCCCCAGGGAATAATGAAGCAGACACACTGGCCCAGGTGCTCTGGCTACAAGGAAAGCCTGCTTCTGATGTGGCTCAATGGCTGCACTAGTGTTTGTTGCACATGGGGCAAAAGACAGTGTGGGCTGTAAACTGTCGGTGGGGCTTGCCGTTGGCCTTTGAAGACGTCAGCAGAGCCCGGAAGGAGTACCTTGTGTGCTCTAAGAGGGACTTACACCGAATCCCACAACAACATGGGACAATAGTAAGGGGGCCAATACCCCTGGTCAGGTGACAAATAGACTATATTGGGTCTCTGCCCATATTAGAAGGATAACAGTATGCCATTGACTTGTACGGACATGGCCACTGGACTGTTGGTTGCTTTTCATGAACATCATGCAGATCAGCAAACCACCAAGAGGGGCCTGGAGCATCTATTTGCAGCCTATGGCCGGCCGCAGGTGATTGAGAGCGATCAAGGCACCCACTTTACTGGACATGCGTTACAAGAATGGGTGCAGCAATTAGAAATAAAGTGGAAATTACATGTACCATATAATCCTACCAGGGCAGGCATGATAGAAAGGTACAACCGTTTGTTGAAATATGGCCTGAAGTCAAACACCAATAGCCTACTGGGTTGGTCAGTTTGCCTATGGACAGTGCTGCGGCGTTTGAATGGGAAGCCACATGAAGGAGCTTTGAGCCTTGTGAATGTGCTCACACACCCTGCTGCTTCTCCTATACAATTGTACGTTCAAACCAAAGAAGAGCTATTGAAGCCAAAATATGGACAGCAGAGCAACAACCTGCTGCCAGTCCCTACTGCCTTAAGCCCTGGAGACACTTGAATGGACCTGGCCCTGGACATTTCAACACATGGACCAGCGATGGCTGGCCCTTCTGGCATCTTGGGAGAAAACCCTGGAAGCTGGCCTTGTGTGTATTCCTGGAGTAACAGCTGAATGGCCCCCAAAGGTCACAGTAGTATACCCAAAACGTCCAGGAGGTAAGAACATCTTGCAGGGAAGTTTTGTTTTATCTTTATGGCCAGTGCCTGTACCTCCTGTAGCCCTATGTATCAACCCATCTGTAACTCCCACAGGGAAGTGGGTGAAAGTCTGGTCACTAGACCAGGATGAGATCCCGTTCCTGCCACTGTTTTATCACAAAACCACTCTCTTGCATGTATCCTACCTGATGGACAAGATTTGCCTATGCTGGTGTCATTAAAACATGTATCTTATCCCCCTTAAGGTTATTTACTCCTACAGTCCTTGTGGTCTGAATGCGACCCCTGGCTCCCGCTGTCTCGTGATGATTGCACCCTCAGCTACTGCCTGGCCTGCCTAAGGAATGGACTGGCTATGGGCTTAATCTGCATAAGACTGAACCTAGCTGATCCTCTGGCTTGAGAATTATCATGATTGTGCTGTTGTTGTCAAGAAAAATTGCTTAAAGAGAGGCTTGACTTTGTAATGTTTGGTAACGTGGTTGTTAGGAATGAGTAAACAAGTATAGAAACATATTTTGTGCTGCATAGGCTGAATCCTCTGGCTTGAGGATTATCATGATTTTATTCCGCTACTATTGTTATGTCATTAGTCTGGTTACAGTGCTCCAGTTTTCCCGCCCAGGGACCATTGCAAAAGAAGGGGAATGAGTAGATTGTAAGCCAAGATTTTTGGAGGGGTGGCCTGTGGGTAAAATTGTAACATTTCCAGAGTATCTGGCCTGGCTTTAGTGCTTTTGCATATCCTCAGGGGTGAAGAGAAGTTCATCTCCATGTCAATGGGTCATTACCTGGGCAAGGGAGGGCGTGTCTGAACCTGAGAGTTTAAAGGGAGGGGCTGGCTTGCTGGCTTGCTTCCTTCAGGAGCAGGGGAGAGAGATGGCGCTGGACTGCAGTTTGTAAGCAATAAATGGGTTTTAAATTTTATTTCTTCCTTTGACTGATTTCGGTTTTTAGAGGTATTTTGCTCTGGGATTTCCCTTACCTGGACTTACACTGGGAAATACATATTTGGTCATATGAATGACCAAATATGTATTTTTTATAACTCACCGTATCACACCTTCCTATATTCTCCAGGAACTCTTGAGTACAATGGCTCTGATTCGCACCACCTGCTGGGTTCCCACATGCTGCTTCTCTGCTTCTCCGCAGTAGCCTGAATCTGGCCTGGGGAGCAGAAGAGACCAACCCAGTTACCTTATTTTTATGAAAACTAGTCCTAGGGCAAGGTGACATTGATGGTGATATGCAAAGTTGACCCTTGAACAAGTGAGGGTTAGGGGTGCCATCCCCCTGCCCTGTCTAAAATCCACTTATAACTCTTGACTTTCCAGAAACTTAACTACTAATAGTCTACGGTTGACCAGAAGGCTTCCTAATAAATAGTCAATGAAGATATATTTTTATGTCCTATTATTATACACTGTATTCTTATAATAAAGTAAGCTAGAGATAAGAAAATGTTTCTTCAGATTGTCACACATCTCCAAGAAATTTTCCAATACATTTATTGAGAGAAATCTGCATATAAGTGGACCCACACAGTTTAAACCTGTTATTCCAGGGTCAAGGGTATATGACATTTAGCGTGGCTGTATTTCTGACATGGAGGGTGATTGTATTCACAACCCTTAGACTGATGTTATTTGTGACATTTAGGGTGATTATATTTGTAAAGGTGATTATGTTTAAGTATCTGTATTTAACCTTGCATCAAAGGAAATTAATCCATAGCTGGCTTCATCGTGGTAACAAACTACTCCAGTTCTTCAATGAAACAATATCAAAATATAAGTCTTTATTCCTTTTTTCTTCTTCTGACAGAGCTGTTGTGGAAAAATACCTGCTTGAAAAGTCTCGTCTGGTCTCTCAAGAGAAGGATGAGAGGTAGGAGGATGCTTCCCGGGCGAGCCACCTCTGCTGCCTTCCTCCCTATAAAGCAGATGTCCTGAGATCGGGGAGGTCCCCGCGGCTCTCCAGGCAGTGGGGTCCACTCTGTGGCTTCTAGCTCGGTGCTGTTACCACTTAAGCTACCTTTTTTGTGCCTACTGGGACTTTTACCTGGAGGACGGCTCGGATGTGTGCCAAAATGTGGTTAGATAAGAAACATCTCTGATTAGCCCATGAACAAGACACCTAACCCCTACCCCAACCCCCAAGAAATATACTCACTGGAGGAGTTCATGGTTTGAGTGTTGTTTCTGTTTTTGTTTTTAAGACCTAATAGGAATCAACTATGGCCTCAAATCCGTACATAGCTGAGGTACTTTTTCCTCTCTGGCTCTGCCTTCAAAAGTAACTTTCTCCTGATTCTGAATGGCAGGAATTACCACGTGTTTTATTATTTGTTACTTGGCGTCAGTGAGGAAGAGCAGCAAGAGTTCCAGCTTCAGCAGCCTGAAGACTATTTCTACCTCAACCAGGTAAACAGCCCTGACTCCCGGCCACAGACGCCACCTCTGTTCCCCATGGGCTGTTTATACCCCGCCGGGAGGTCGGAGGCCGTCTGCCCTGGCCCCATCTGGCCCCCAGACTGGCTGGAGGAGGTGGCACAAAAGAGCCCATTCATTCTCCAAGCCCTGGGCCCCGCCCCACTGGGCCCAGCCGGAATCCCTCTTGACTGCCACCCGCAGCAGTCCAGAAATGCACCCAGAGCCCCGCCGACTTTGTTTTTCAGCATAACTTGAAGATCGAAGATGGGGAAGATCTGAAGCATGACTTTGAAAGGCTCAAGCAGGCCATGGAGATGGTGGGGTTCCTTCCTGCCACCAAGAAGCAGTAAGTGGGCGCCAGCCGTCCCCCATCCCCCATTAGGCACCACACCTCCCCTGCCCCCAATCTTGTGGTCACACTCTGTGATCTGACTGACACCCCAGTAGGAGCTGAATTCAGTAAGGAAGGTAGCCCAGTGACAATGAACACCCTCAGAGAGACTCTCATTAGTCATGGGGAGATGCCAGTCACAACCACTGGGGATCTTGCCTAACACCGCAGAACTGTGTGGTTACCAACAGGTGAGATTGTAGATTTTATGTAACGTGTATTTTCCCACAGTTAAAACTTTCAAAAAGTTTTTTAAAATCACACACGGAGTGCTCTCCACACCCACCAGGAAGACCACTACACCCAACAGGAATGCCCACGTGCTTCTGGGAGGGACCAACAGCCAACCACTTTGGAAAACTGATTGGCAGTTTCTCCTACAGCTGTGTACAGCTACAGTTGACCCTTGAACAACATGGGGGCTAGAACACCAACCCCCCTGCACATACCCGCATATAACTTTTGACTCTGCTGATATCCTGCTGTTGATAGGAAGCCTTACTGAGAACATAAACAGTTGATGAACACATATTCTGTGTAGTCTATTATACACTGTATTCTTCTAAGAAAGCAAACTAGAGGGGAAAAAAGTTTCTTTGAAATTGTTGCAAATCTCCAAAAAAATTTCCAATATTAAAAAATATCCCCATATAAGTGGACCCATGCAATTCAAACTCTTGTTCAAGGGTCAGCTGTGCATAACAATATGCATACATTTGCTCACCCAAAGACACACGGGAATACACACAGCAGGCTTGTTTTTAACAGCCAAAAACACTGGAACCCTCTGCCCCAAATGCCCACCCATTGGAGATTAAATAAACAAATGGTAATACATACATGCAGGTGTCAACAAATTTTCTCTAGAGGTCCAAATAGTAAAATTTTCAACTTTGAGGGCCAGGTGGTCTCTGTGGCGTGTTCCTCTTCTCTGTGTCTCATTTTGTTTTGTTTTGTAAGCAACACTTTAAAAACTTAAGGACCAGTCTTAGCTTAGGTACTTTGCGAGAGTAGAAACAGTTTGCCAACCCCTAGACAACTCCACACACAGCAATGGGTCTCACCCAGTCTTGCCCTCGGGATACATGGCCATGTCTGGAGATACTGTTGGTTGTCATGCTGTGTGGAGGAATGGAGGGAGGACACTGTCACCTTCATCTGGCGGGTGGAGGCCAGGGATGCCGTTGAACATCCACAGCCCACAGAGCAACTCCGCTACAGCAAAGCATGACCCAGGCCCAGGTGTCAGCCACCCCAAGGCTGAGAAGTGCAGGTCTGTGGCATTGAGAATGAATAAACAGGGCTTCATGCAGTACCTGCACACCCCCCATCAGTTTGCCAGTGGCAGGCCAGATACAGGTACATACGATTTCATTGATGTCAAGTTCACAGACAGTATTAGACATCGGTTCCTCTGTAGGGGTGGGGGAAGGTTCTGGGGCCTGCTTTGTTCTGTTCCTTGTTCTAAGCACCAGTTACCAGGATCTGCACATTTTGTGACGGTTCATCGAGTTCTGCGCTTGGGAATTGTGTGCTTTGATTTTTAATACCCCTGCCCAACACCAAAGGAAAAAAAAAAAATGATGTCAAGGTATCTGCCTACATTCGCATTCCACAGAAAGGGTCCCCGACACAGGGATTGAACATTTTTCACACTTGATGTGTTCCAGCTGGCACTGGCTGGTTGTATAAATTCAGCCCAGTTGGCTAGAAGCTCCACGGTTGGGAAACTGCCCTAACCTAGGCGCCTTTGCTCCCCCAGGATTTTTTCTGTCCTGTCAGCCATCCTGTACTTGGGCAATGTCACGTACAAGAAGAGAGCCACGGGCCGAGATGAAGGCCTGGAGGTCGGGCCCCCCGAGGTGCTGGACACACTGGCTCAGCTCCTGAAGGTACATTCCCAGCCCTCCAGCCACAGTGGCCACTGAGAGCACAGAACTGCCTGCCCTGGCTGCACTTCTGTAGGCCAGGGCCTGCCTGTCTGCGTCCTCCCCTCCCCTGTGCCATCTCTGCAGCACCCCTTCCACATTCCTTCTCTTTGTCTTTTAATCAAGGCGTCTTTGGCATAAATTTTATGTTAGTTCAGATGTACAACATAATGATTTGATATTTGCTGATACTGTGAAATGATCACCACACTAAGTCCAGTGATCATCTGTCACCCCAGTTACAGAATTTTTCTAAAAGTGGGGACTTTTAAGATCTACTCTCCTAGCAACATTCAGTTACGTGGTACAGAGCTATTAACTACAGTCACCAAGCTGTATGTTACATCCCTATGGCTTATTTTATGACCAGAAGTTTATACCGTTTGACCCCCTTCACCCATTTCACCGGCCTCACGCAACCACCAATCTGTTCTCTGTATTTGTGAGCCTGGTTTGTTTTTTGGTGGGGTTTTTTTGGTTTGGTTTTAGATGTGTAAGTGAGGTCATCCAGTATTTGTCTTCCTCTGTCTGACTTATCCCCTCATGGACCATCCCTCCCTCTTTTCAGAGGGACCTGGGCAGGGCTGCCCACCCACCTCAGTCCCTCGAGTGAATGGCTCTCTAAAACCATAAATGGGTCAGCAAGTCTCACTGGACCTGCCACTCCCCGGTCCACTGGTCCTCAGCCCCAGGGGCATTGTACAACTTGTGGAGGCATCCTTGGCTGTCACACTTCAGCATGCTACTGTCCTCTGTGGGGTGGAGGCCAGAGATGACATTCAGCATCGTCTGACATACAAGACAAGCTTTCCCACAGCAAAGAGTGACCCGGCCCCAAATATCAGTGGTGCCAAAAAGGCTGAGAAGCCCTGTCCCCTGCTTCTTGTTCTCTTAAGTGTTCATTTCATCAGTGACTCCTCTTAAATTGTGCCTCATGCAGGAGCCCCAGCTTCTGCTGTGTTCATTGGGCTGAGGGAGCACACCAGCCAGGAGATGCCCTGCTTGTCTTGTGAAGGGGGCCTAGTGGTCAGGGAGCAGTAGGCCCCTCACCTGGCCCTGCACACAGGCCTGGAACCTGCTCCAACAGTGACAGCTATAAGCACAGTTGCCAGGCAGTACATGGGCCCATGTCCCACAGTGACACCCGGGCCTATGTGACCACATTCCCAGGGCCGTTGCTGAGCCTCTGGGTGGTGTGCTAAAATTCTGAAATACACGGATCATAGCACACATCACAGGACAGCAGCTCTCACTGTGAGCTTCAGGCCCAGTTCCTCCTTCTGCCTTCTGTGAGCATCAGGGTCTTGTCTCAGCGACACAGAACCACCTGACAAACTCTCCGTCCCCCTCCCCTGCTCCCTGCCCCTGTTCCTCCTTCTTGACCTTGAAACAGGTAAAACGAGAAATCTTGGTGGAAGTTCTGACCAAAAGAAAAACAGTGACCGCCAACGACAAGCTCATCCTTCCCTATAGCCTCAGCGAGGTGAGTACTGTCCTGGGCCTTCACAGGGCCCCAGGTCCCAGAACACAAGCTGGTTCTCATTGGAACCCACACACAGCATGAACCAACTTATAGAGCAAACTACAGCCTGAAGGCCAAAGCTTGGGCCGTGGGTGTGTTCATCTCAGCGTTTCCAGATGCTTAGTGAGCATTCTGGTTCCCACCAGCACAGGATGGCCCCCTATGGCCCACAAACCAAATCTGGCCCACTGCCTGCTTTTGTAAATAAAGTTTTATTGGCATGTAGCCACCCCCATCTGTTTATGTGCAGCTCTCCTGCTACAGCAGTAGAGCTGAGTAGCAAAGACTGAGACTGTCTTGCTCTCATAGCTGAAAATAGTGACTCTCTGGCCCTTTCTCAAAAAAGTTTGCTGGCCCCCAGGCTAGCACATGACCTTCACAACCATTATGTGGGTCCCTAAATCTCAGTAAAGCGCTGCCCTCTGGCCTTAGCTCCAGCCTGGATGCTTTCTTGGCGGTGTGTTTTCCTTGCATGTTTTCTCTGGAGCAATGTGACTTGCAGCTTGGACAGCAGCAGGAACACACCTAGCCTCCGGGGGAATTTTTAGCTGGCAGTAGAAGCTGTTGAAGCATCTTTAACGGGCACAGTGGACAGTGCCCCCGCTGACCCCAGTGTTTGGTACAAGTTGCTACAGGACACCTGATACCCCAGGAGGGTGGCTGCCCCCAAGGGCACCAGTCTGAATGAAAGACGTCAGGCTTCTTGTTGTCATTCCTCTCAGCTCCATTTCTGCAACCTCCCTAGAAAGGCAAAACCTAAGAGATGTGTTCTAGATTTTGATTGGAGCCAAATACATCTCTCACAGCCTAGATCTGAGTACATAAAAAGAAGGAATTCCTTATATATCCATTAGACCACAAAAAGCCTTTTTAAAGATATTTAGAGGTTATCACTGCTTTTATATACCCATTGGTGGCCCCACAGTGCTCCCGAACTGCAAGGGGCCTACGTTTGAACCCCACTCAGACTCCTCGCTAGTTCTCCCATGAGGGTGGTCTCAGTTCCCTCCCTAAACCTGCATCCCAACCTCAGCAGTCCCTGGGTTGCTCTGAGGAGCCAGCTGACACCCAAGAAAGTCTTGGCTGAACCGCAGGCCCCTGGGCTTTGCAGTCCATGCTTCCAAGTACAAGGGCATCCAGAGCTGTTGGGATGGTGTGTAGAGTGAGAAGGGACATGTCAGATGAGTTGGGTGTTCAAAGCCTCTCCTTGATCTCCCTGTGCACACAGACCTCAGGGTAGTGCAGTGCAGGGCCTGCCTTGCCAAGGTGTGACACCCACTCTGTGCACACAGGCTATCACCGCCCGTGACTCCATGGCCAAGTCACTGTACAGCGCCCTGTTTGACTGGATTGTGCTACGGATCAACCATGCTCTCCTCAATAAGAAAGACATGGAAGAG